AGGCTTCGCTTTCCGCTGTGAAGGGGCAGGCATCTCCGCTGGGAGGGACAAATCGTGTGCAGGTCTCACTCAACCGAAGGCTGCGCTGAGCACAGGCAGCATGGAAGAGAGCGCCACAGGAGAAACACTGGCGGGCACTTGACCGCCTTGGTGTGATGATGTAGTCGTCACATACCACGCAAAATTTGGGTGTGGTGACAGACACCGGGACGAGATTGTGTGTGTCGCTCGGGTTGGGTTCTAAGTGCACAAAAGATAGATAGCGTTACTTTACTGTCGTCAGTAGTGTAAATTCAATGAATGGTAGAAATTGCAACCTGTCATCACTGCGATCTATGACCTCGGAATGAGAACACCACATCTGCTTCTGAAACATTGGAAGCGCATTCAGAAAAGAGCGCGCAGTTTCGACTAAAATAAACGTAAATATTGTTATTTCACCCAGAATTCTCAATTAGCTTAGAAAATAACAAGGAATTTTTTCTTTAGCAACTATTTATTGAAATCGACTAAAAGTACAAGTGCATTCCGAAGCAATAAACTACAGGAAGGATTCCAATTCTTCTTCTTCCTTCTTCCAGTTTTTGTTCATGTAACGGTGGTTCAAAGTTATGTAGGCGTTTGGAACGCATCCCCGGCAATGACCGATGGACTGATTGGCGAACTGGGGTCGTACCATTTCAATATACTTGACCAGTCCGGAAAGGAAAGCAAGGCCAACCACAAGGTTCATTTGACTTGCCAACGGAGCTAAATAAAGGGAAAATTTGGATTTTGTAAGAACAAATAGAGCAAAGCTCGGGTGGTTTATAGTTTCGTCTTGGACTTTATTTTGAAGAGAACAAGCACAATCTTAAATGAACTCGATGAATTAGAAAGAATGGCTTCTATACAAAGTATATCAGACGTGTTGTTCAACCGTTTGGACAGCATGGCCATAAGAATCATAAAGAAAATTTCAGTGGGAAATGGCAACTCTAATCTTACACTTAATGCAGATAATTCAAACATCACAAAGGAATAGCTAATGGTCATTTTAAAA